TAGTGGAACAGCAAAGCCAGAGCAGTTAACCTCTGCTCCGTATCAGAGGAGACCCCATATCCTTCAGGTACCTTTCCCTGGTTTGGAGATTTCCCAGGACATGCTCGAGCAAACTTAGCCTACATCACTCTTTGGAGCTGCCTTCCGGAGGGAGCACAGCTGATTGCCCTCCTCTATGGTCCACCTCCTCTCCAGCCTGGAAAGGACTGTTGAGCATCCCATTCCCAGGGGCAGGTGTGTCTCTGATTCCTTCAGTAGCTGTCATTCATTTCCACTTGCATGAGGGCTACAGAAGGAAGGAGTATGTAAAGTGAATCCATGAGACCTTGACCCCTCTCCTGCTCTCCAGGGTGACACTTAAATTGGGGTAGAGTCAGACTTTCTACGCTGGGTGCCTAACTCACTCTCTGCAGCTTATAAAGTGCTCTTGTTGACCTAGGAAGTTTTCTGCTTCCCTTGGTAAATGTGTAAGAATCCTCCACTCAGTCACATTGTTTTCCTTTTGGGCTGACTTTCCATTTGGACCATAGTCAAGGAGGTCAGTTGAGGTGAGGCAAGTTTGAAGAGTGAACTTAGACATGGACGAAAGGAATTGCTTGAAACAGAATTGCTTTTAACTTATTTGGCATTTGGGTCCCATTATGGACATAAGCAAATTGAGAACATTTTCCACAAAAGTATTATGCTGTCACCATTCACAGCAGTGGGAATGGGGTGTCCACGGAGAGTCCTATGGCCAGCCAGGATGGCCTGCACCTGTACATGCTTGCACCCGTGAGTGCCATGACCCATTTCAGGCCTGGGACTGGTGGGAAATGTTTCCTTAATGCCCTGCTCAGCATCTTTGGACAGGGGTTGTCATAGAGGGGCTACAAGCCACTTGCCCTCAAAAGTCCTTAGTATCACCTCGGGATGGTTCCTGTTTCCTGGTATTTATCCTCCTCTGGCTTCTTCATGAGCCCCACCCACTGCCACCTGGCTTGTTTCTTCCTTTGTGCCAGGACTCAGGAGCCATGAAAGTCAGTGAGTGAAGCCAGCCAGGTGTGAGGCAATAGGGAGTGGTGAGACACGTGGCCAACTGGGAATGTCATGCCCACCACAGCTCAACTGCCGGCCATCCCTCTGAAGAAGAAGTGCAAGCCCAGCACTCTGGTTCTGCAATATCCCATTTTCTCAAAAGGTTGCAAAACCTGACTTTTATGTGATGTAACATGTAACATTTCCAGGTTTTTTAATTCTTGATAAGTAATTAAAATTATTTTAAAAAACACATTCTGTGGACTAAAAATGTATCTAAAAACTACAGGCAGTCTCAGTTCTGTTCTCTCTCTCTCCTTCCTTCCTTCTCCCTCTTTCCTTCCCTCTCTTCCCTGTCTCATCTACTGCAATCTTGCCTGCCTTCCCACCTTCAGCCCTCTCATCTGAAATACCAGTATCTCTGAGAGTTAGCTCTCTAACCTTGGCTGCAAACCCACATTTACAGGGCTGGTCATCTCCATGGGAGTGCCTGTACACCTCAAATGCCAAGTCGAGCTCATCAACCTCCCAGGCTTAGCAACTCTTAAGACCTTTAGTCAAACTAAATAGCAAACAGACATTCTCCAAAGATTAATAAGCTGATTTAAGATTTGACATTGCAGTGGCAATGTGTGTGCCATAGTAAACTGTGGGCCTATTCAAAGAGATTGTTTTCATATTCAAGGGGAAGTTTTTAGAGGGCACATGAGGATTCTACAAATTTTCTTGAAATAATCCTTGGCTACAAGATCAATAATAAGGGTGACATCAGTCCCTTGTGGGGTGGTCAACCTTGCAGAAGTATTTTCTGTGTCAGGTTGTGGTGGCCTTTGTGCAAGTCTTCTGTCATAAAGGCACACATACACAGGCACCTCCCTTTCACAACCTCCCACCTTTCTTTACTTAGTTAGGATTTGACACAGTGACTCCATTTTGATTTTGACAACTTTCACAATCTCAAGAAGGGTTAGTTGTATTTATCTTTGTTCCCCTGATTAAAAAAAAATATCACTACTACTGATTCTGCCATTAATACTAATATTTCAGATAATGATCCGTTACTCCTCTTTTGTTCCTTGCCTCTGTTACTCAATCCGCCCCGCTCCATCAGACAGCCAGAAAGGACACTGTGATCTTGACTCTACCCTTCATCCCAGCCCTAGGCAGTTAGTGAATTGCACTCATTCTTCTTCCCCAAGCCTTCTAGAATTTGCTCCCATTTCTCCCTTCCCATTAACTAGAGGCTCTCTGAGTTTCTGAACTCAGCTGTGGTCTCAGCTTCATTCACCCCGCCACCAATCCTTACTCTCCATGCAGGATTTATTCATCACCCTGTGGCCAGAGTCATCTCCTAAATCACGGACATTTCTTATCACTCGCCTTCACTTTTAATGGCTCTCACTGGCTGCCCACACATTTCCTCACCCATCTCAGTGTACCACCTGCACCAGACTATATGTTCCTCTGCCAGCACATCAGGTGCTTGTACGCATCTGCACTCTGCTGGCTGTGCCCTCAAGCATGACTGTTTTCTTTCTTCATGCCTCTTCATCTCTTCTTCTTCATTTGTGCTGAATGCCACCTCTTCCATGAGACTGTCACTTACCTTCTTACCACCCACCCAGACCTTCTCTAAGCTCCACAGCACTTTGTCTTAAGTCTCTTCATTTCATCGGTGCCTTAAAGTTCACTTGCCTCTTCCCCTTCCCTTGGTTCATGCCTTGATAGAGAGACAGTGTCTTGTCATCTGCAGAGCCCCCTACCCTAGGAAGTCTAGTGCACTGCCTTGCATTCACCAGTTACCCTCTCAACCTTTGTAAATAGAAAGATTTTTTTTTAATGTGAGGATGACTTCATCTAAAGAGCCCAAACCAAGATATTAAAAGTCAAAACAAAGCCATTTGGTTATTGAACAGGATTGATCAGAACACCATGAGAAAGTATCATGCTAGTGAAATGGTTATTCTTTTTGCTCCCTATTTCAGGGATGTGGTTTTCAAAGAAGGAACCACTGTGATTTGGTCTGCTTGTCTTCATACAGTGCCTCTGCCACGGTGCCCCTTGGAAGCTTGGATTTAGTGCCAGGGCAGAGAAGAATGGGCAAAGTCTCTCAGACAACAGGGCTTCTGCCACTCTGGCATATAGTCCTGCACTCTTTTTCTTGCCCAGAAGTACAAGTTGTACCCACACATTCACAAAATGTCCTCTACTGACATCATTGGCAGGCCTGGGAATTTCCCACAAGCCATCTGGGTCTGTTCTGTCATCCTTGTCTCCTGAGTTTTTCGCAGCATTGTTATTTGTTAATTAGTTCTCAGAATCACAACTGCTCATCCATTAGGGATTGTATCCTACTGACTTTCCCATGGAGAGAAATCTACTCATTTCTTTTTTGTAAGTACTTTCCCCTTCCTTCTGGAGAAGGAAGTTTACCCAGAAGATCCTGAGCAGTGGGAACTTCCAGCTCTTATGTAGTAGAGTAATTTACAAGGTACAGATTTTCTAAATCCACATTGACCATGAGAAGTCCCTAGAGTAGAAACCGTTCTAATTGGACCTGTCTGTATTTGAATGCTTATTTTATTTTGGGTTTCACCTCCAGTCTAGCACCACTTGAGGCTTTTAATTCCTTGACACTTGGAGAGAAAAGCCATTAAACCCCACTAGTGTCTTCATTTTTTATTGACACTCTTTTAAATCACTTTACATACAGATTCTGTGAGACTGACGATTGCTTGGGAAGTTTTGCAGCCTCCTTCCTCAACATTATTATTTTCATTTGAACCAATATTGGAGGCTTGCAGCTTTGGCCACCTGGCATGGCAGCCGTAGTCACCTCCAACACCTTCAAATGCTACCTTTTCATGTCTGCACCATCACCAAGATTTTCCTCTTATTTACTCTGTAAAATCTACTCCGAAAACATTTCTGGGAACACCATTGTGTTCACAGATCGAACTTGGAAAGGGGTGCTTGGGGTGGGGGTTGTCACAAATCTGTTTAAAGATGACAATTTAAATAAAAGCCAAACCAATACCAGAACTTTTTATCCAAGTCAATTTCTTTTTTGAAATGGGAAATTAAATTAGCTGTCTTTGAAATTAAGAATTATAGTCTGGGCCATGACAAGTGAATTGTTCTGTGTATGAGTCCTTGGCCAGGAAATGATCAAAACACCAAGGCCATTTTGTGAAAGCAGAGTTAGCCCAAAATACTTTGATAGGAGCTGAGCATCAAGGAAATTTCTGAATTGATACGAAGATAGAATTTATATACAAACATCTCTTGAATATGTGGCATCACCTATTTAAATTCTTATCCAGTAAACCTATTTCAAAATGGAAGAAGGGCCATCTTGAAGAAAAAATATTTTCATCTCGGACTATAATATCTTTGCTGCATAAATAAAAGTAGCCAATTTTGCTTTTCCTAGAGCCTAAACCCAGAACTTTTAAGCTTTTTTTTTTTTTTTTTAATCCTTGCTACTTCTTCACACAGGTCTTCAAAAACAATGACTCTCACTCTTCTGTCTGTGGTCTTGTGAGAGAGCGGGAATCCTGGCCAGCTGGGCAGGTCTCTCTGGAAAATGGCACGGCTGTTCCTAAAAGTAGCCTCATTCATAAGATGCCTGCTGTCCACAACTGCAGTGTGGGAGAGAGGCATACTATTTCATAAAGAGCTTCTTTTCTTTAAAGAGGAAAGAAAAATACATGGTGTTTACAGAAAAAGAAAACTGGACCCTTTAGTCCTCTTTTAGTGGCCATGTCTGAAATGGACAGGGGAAGGCCATAAATCCACACAGGCAATTGCGCCTTTAAGGCATGATTCATACTGGCTGTGCTGCCCAGGATGGAAAATCCAGCTAGTTAAGCAACGTCAGCCAGAACGCCTCCCATAGGCTTGTCTGCCAGGGCTGATGCCTGCTGTCTTGTGACACAGCGATTATACGTGAATGAATAATTGACTCTCTCTTTCTCTCTCAGTTCATGACCAAGAACCCCAGCATGCGCCTGGGCAGCCTGACTCAGGGAGGTGAGCATGCTATCTTGAGACATCCTTTCTTTAAAGAAATCGACTGGGCCCAACTGAACCATCGCCAGATAGAACCACCTTTCCGACCCAGAATCGTAAGTGTCAAGACCATTAGCGTAGACGTTCCCCTTTCTTCAGATGACCAAAGTCCAACTGGGCAGCTGGTGTGCCCTGTGGAGTGACAGACTAGAAGTTCACATGACACTTTTACAGGGCAGTCTTACCCAAGAGGAGCTCGGCTCCTTGCCCCTGAGATAGCATCTCTCCATGTACCAGTTATTTCTCATGAATTTCATCTCTTGCTTGCCCTGGCTTCATCCTTCCTTAACCAACGTTAAAATATTGTAGGGTCTAAGATGCCTGAGATGTTGTAGGTTTCTCCCCAACGAGTTAGTTAATTGATAAGTCATGATTCCTAAGCCAATATCCTCATGCTCCTTAAGCACCATTTGTGCCTTTCACAAGCTCCCAAGAAAGCACAGAAGGCATAAGATATTCCTTTGCTGAGCCTGGCTCCTTGGCTTATAGAGCCTGGACTTATTATAATAGCTACTGTGATGCAGAGCTCAGACCAGAATGGGCCAAGCCTTTTTGGTGAAATATGAGAGCACCAGGGGTACCTCTCTAAGCTATGCAGCAAGAGGGGTAGCCCTCCTGAGGGTGACCCAGTTCATGGTCTGAGAGCTGAGCTCTTGTGTATCTGTGGGTCAAGAAAGCCACAGTAGAAAGGCAAAGAAGCCAGGATAGCAAGAGATCAAGAGTTTCAGGGAGGAGGGGTGGTCCATGGGATGGAGAGAGACGTATCATTGAATCAAGTCAGAGAAGTACAAAAATGTAGCAAGACCCCATCTCAATCAATAAGCTGAGCATGGTGGTGTGTGCCTGTGATGCCAGCAAGGTGGGAGGCCATAGGTAGGAAGATCAAAGTCCAGGCCAGCCCCAGGCATAAACACAAGACCCTACCTTAAAAAATAACTAAAGCAAAAAGGATTGGGAGTAAGGCTCAAGTGATATAATTCCAACCTGCTCTCCCCCTCAAAAAAGATATAACATATGCAACTTCTCAAGCAGACAGTAAGCTTAGTCTGTGCTCGTCTGCTAGGCTTTGGATACCAATCAACCAGAGGTAAAGCCAGTTCCTTCCATGGATAGACTCTTGTCAGCTCCTCTGAGATTGGGGATAACTTGGCTTTCAGAAGCTAGAACCCATAGTCCTGACTACACAACCAGCCCAGGAATGAGTAACACATCTTTCTAGTGAAAGAAATGATAGGCAGTTTTTCTCTAAGGTCAGCATTGCCAAGAAGTCTTTTAACAACAGCTCTTTACATGTGTAGAACTGTGTACAAGCAGGTGAGGTGAGTGTGAACTTACGCAACGCCTTGACAAATTGGAGCTCATCTGCCCCTCACTGAGGGCTGCTGGGAAATGGCACTTTGGTAAAATGGAGAAATAAAGGGTGAGTGAGCCAATTGGTTTAGTGACCAAATTAAGTCCTAAGCCTCCCAGTCTAAGGTTGGCCTGCTCGGCAAGATTTTCATGGGGTGAGTGAATCGGTGGTTACCAAATGCCATAATAATTCACATTGCATTGGAATTGCTATAAAGTACTGTTTAATCGCAGTGATCACAACTGTAAATAATGCTGCTGAACAAGCTACAGAGAACTCTGAACTCATTGGAATGGGCTGAGTCCCACGCAAGATGAGTTAGTCTCAGGTACATAAATTCTGACCTTGTTTCCCTTTTTTCACAGAAATCTCGAGAAGATGTCAGTAATTTTGACCCTGACTTCATAAAAGAAGAGCCAGTTTTAACTCCAATTGATGAGGGACATCTTCCTATGATTAACCAGGATGAGTTTAGAAACTTTTCTTATGTGTCTCCAGAATTGCAACCATAGCCTTATGGGGAAAGAGAGCTGGTATGAGAATCAAAAGGGAATAGAGACTTTCCAGGAATTTCCTTTGTGGGAACTCCCCAGCATCCGCCTTAGAACACCAACTTTACCTTCAAAACAAATGTTCACAACTCTGTGAAGGATGGAGCTTCAAGAGATCAACTATTTCAAGTCCCAAGGGAGCTGTAGTTCTGGGACTAGTTGATAATGAAATGAGATTTTATGAAGACATAGATGTTCAATCTATGAGTTTCCATGGCTATTTCAGACCTGGGATATTAACAGGAGCCAAAAAGAGAGAAGGCATGAAGAATAAAGTAGGTCCTAGAAGTTCTGAGCCAAACAGGCCTTTTACTGTAAGAGACAAATCAAGACTTTCTGTGGACTACTTTGTGTTCTTTAAGTCAATGAACCCCTAAAACCACAGTCTGCAAGAAGACTCTAAATGCTAATGAAGAATTTAAAGGTTTTTCTAAGGAAATGAATAGATTTCCAAGTAATGATTTACACTGAAGAAACAAACAAACAAAAATGGTGTACCTAATTAAGTCCCCAACTTAAAGCCCAGTGTGAAAACAGATACTGGGCACCAAGACAATGGCCACAACAGGTTCTCTCACCCTTACTTTGATTAGCTAGATATTTATTGAAAGTCCATTGAGTGTCCATAAGGTGTCATTATGCCCAGTATCGTAAACAGTAGTTACCTTCATAAAGCTTTCATTCATTCTGGGTTCCACTAATTTACCTGAATGGTGTTTGCATTCTGTGACATGCCTTTCCACATTGCCTCTGCCACAGTTCTTTGTCTACACATACTTTCTTTTTCACAGAAGGGTCACCGCCACAACACAGACAAACAGGCAAGCTTCCAGTGCATGCTGCCCGCTGACCTGTGGAATCTGATTATGGCTCCGGACTCATCAGTGAGGAACTGCACGCCACTCGTATCCATGACCAGATGTACAGCTTCTCCATTAGCAGTTTATTTAAGTTATGTTTGCAGAGACAGTTTGTTTGATATACACTTTAATAATTAGAAGTGGATCTTGTAAAGAGGGCTAGAGAAAAGACGGACCTTATAATGTGTAACCACATATGCAACTGGAGAATTTTATCTGGCTGGAAATAAATGCATTTTGTAACAAAAGGAACTTTTCTGTTCGGAAGGATTTGTTCTCTCTTCACTAGGAGAGTTGATTTCCAATCAGAATTAAAAGCCTTTGAGGACTGGGGCAAGGCTCAAGTGGTAGAGTGCTTGTCCACCAAGTACGAGGCCCTTTGTTCAATCTCCAGTACCACCAAAAGTAATTAATTAATTAAAATAAAAGCTTTGAGCAGAATGGATCGAGCTCTTGACTGAAGGGACACTCCTGAGAGGAGAGTTTGACATTAGCTTCTCGTATCCCAAAAGTGGATATGGCCTGTCTCTTACTGATCAATGCTTCTGTTCCAATCATGACAGTGACCGCTGGCTATTGCTGCAACAGACTTAACTCTCAAAATCTCAGTGGCTAGACATAACATTTATTTCTCATTCACACAGAGCACATGTTCATGGACCCCCTCTATCTTCTAAGTATGCCGTCCGCAAAGTATAGTTCCCAAGGTTACTAGAGCAAGGGAAGAGAGAGATGAAGAGGTGATGGCTGCTTTACTACCTCTCCTCAGAGGGACATACATCACTTCTCTCACTTGATTGGACAAAATGTGATGTCCCTCGAACTGCAACAGGATGGGGGAGTTATAGAGCAGCCGGGAAGGAACTAGCCAGAACTGGCAATCTCTATTGTGGGTTCTTTTTTGCATTCCTAGTGAAGTTTTACTTGAATGAATAGAGCAGCCAGGAGCCTCCCTGCAGATTTGTTTAGCACTTAGCAGTTGAAGGGTTGCCTGGCCTGTACAACTTCACTGGCTCTTCATGACAGGTCTGGGAGGTAGGCAGGTCCCTCTCCTGCTAGTTACACTATCAACAGTGTCAATACTGCAGTACGTCTCACACACTGAAAGAAAAGAGTGACTCAGAGAAATCGAGTTAGTTGATTTCCCAAAGGTTTCAGATTTTGTAAGCAGTAGATGGAAGTCTGGACTCTGAATCTTTATATCCTAATCCCACAGGCCTCTGGATAAGGACAGATTATTCTGACTTTGAGGCTTTTTTTGGCCTTCATGGCTTCTTTGCAGCTCCAGGTTTTCTATTCCTCCATTGGGCTGATCAGCTTTTTGATATGGTTTACACCAGTCTGGTAAAGAGCCATGAAAAATAAAGTATGCCTCCTGTTTCTTTACAAAATCCATCATCACAGCCATGCACAGGATCCAAAGTGTTCTCTTTGATGAGTTTCGGTAGCCGATCACAGTCAGTTCTCAAGCCTGTTACCTAGGCCCCCAATTTGGGTCGAGTCCATTCTTTTGAAACCATTCCAAATTTATCAGATTAGCCAATAGCAATTGATTTTGCTATGATGGGATTTCTGGTTCTTCTCCCTCTTCCCTCTTTTATAAAACAGAATAAACAGGATATTTACCTAAAATTCAGAGCACCTCCAATTCCTGGTGAGAGCTCTGCTTCACATCTTCCTTCTAATCTTACACTCCCTTCTTTGTGATCAATTGTGGGGTTGCCCTTCCTCTACTTCCTGGAACTAACTGGCTAGAGCTGGCAGCAAGCCATCCAGTCAGCAGGTGCTGATTTGGCTGGGGCTGCTTGGTTGTATGAGCTCAGCTGGTAGCACAGAGGACTTCAAGACAAGGTCACACTGTGACCCTTCATTCACTCAAGATCATCTTGCCTCTTGGATAAGGAATCTTTTTATAAAATGTTATTTATTTATTTTATTAGCATATAATAGTTGTACAGGGTCATATATTATGATATTTACATATGTGCTTACAATATGCCTTAGGTGAATTTACCCCCTCCATTCTCCTTCATCATCCTCTCCCCCGTCTTAGAACAATTTTAACAGATTTCATTCTTCTGTTTTCACATATGAATACAAAATACATTGGATAAGGAAGTTTGAGACATCCTCAGTCCTCTCCTCCGCAGCCAGTCCTCATCCCCATGCCCATTTGCCCCCCTCTCCCAAGCTATCCCATACTAAGTAAGTTATACTCATGGTCTTCAGTGTTTGATAGAATAAGTCCAAAACATTCCCTCTGTGCAATTTTTTTTTCAATTTGCTCAATTTTTTTACTTCAAAAGATATTTTCACTCAATAATAATGGTTCATGTTTATATTGTTTATTAGATGTAAGGCCATGTTCTAAACACATTTTTGTTTGTTTTGTTTATGACAAGGTCTTGCTATGTACCCCAGGCTGACCTTGAACTCAATCCTCCTGTCTTAGCCTTTCAAGTGCTGGGATTACAGGACTTTGACAAGACTTTGCCCCCACTCCCAACTGCCTGTTCTAAATACTTTAAGTGTACTTATTTATTCAGTACCCACATGAGTTGGGTACTCTCATCTTCATTCTACAGATGGGGAAACTGAGGTATAGGAAGACTGTGAAACTTGTCCAGAGTCACACAACTAAAGTGGTAGGGCTAGAACTGGAACCAGGCAGGTTAGTTCCAGAATCTCTACTTTTAGTCCAAATTAATGAGTTCCTCAACTAAAATCAATTGTATTTTCTCCATTTTTGTGAGGTTTTGAGAGCAACTAAAAGGATGTAATCTGGGGTTAGTGGTTAGCAAGAGATAAAGTGCCAGCTAAGCAGGACAGTGTGAGTCATCCCCTCTGTAGACCCATAGGTCAGCAGGGAAATGGCATGATTTGCATATCAAGGGCCTGAAGCTTGCTAACTGCCGACTTCAAGGAACAGGGGCAGGCCAGGGTGATGCAATGGGGACTTTGACCTCCACAGGGGACAGGGAGGTGGGTGAGGAAATAGTCTGGGTCAGGCTGGATCCCATAAACGCATCTGAACCTCTGGGGTAACCTCTGAATCTTGGTAGTTTCCAGTGTTTTCCTCACCCCTCTTCGTGCTTCAGTTATTCCCCTCCACCACTTGCTGGCTTGGCAGGAGGCCAGAGGGAAGCAGGCCTGAGGCCTAGAGCCTGCCTTCTCAGCTGAGAGCTTTCAGCTATGGAGCTGATGTGAGTTGGTTGTGAAGAAAAGAGCAAAATACAAACACTCCATTTGCCATGCATTAGTCTTAACTGGGTATATAATGCCTTGAAAATATTCCGGCCACAGATTTGGCCTTGATCATTTCACATGCCAGTGACAAAAGCTTTCCATTTTCTTTATTGCCAGGCTTGCTGGTTGCTTCATCTGGTGGTTTTGACTTACAATGACCAGACAGCCACTGCGATTGCCCCGGCTCAGACGCACTCGGGGTCCTGTAACTTCTCATTGTGCGTCATCTCAAGATAAGACACAGATCGACCTTAGACGCTTGTGGTGAGAATGAGGTCTTTGTCATGTTCCTCTGAAGTGAGTTGCAGGTTGGACAGAGCAGGCCACAGCACAGCTGTAAACAGAGCTTTGTAGTCCCCCTTTCTTCCTGTGTTGGAATAGAACCAAAGCTAAGGGTGCCACCATTGCTTCATCATGTCCCCCACTCCATTCTCAGTTGTTCTTTCCTTCCTTCCACTTCCTCCCTCCTCACTCTATTCCTCAATGTAAAACAATTAGTTCTGTTCTCTCTCTCTCTCTCTCCCTCCCTCCACCACTAGATTTTCATGACATAAAATGCACATTTACTTCATAAGCTCCTTTATAGTCCAGAAATGGCAGCCACCTTCTCCATGTATGTCTGCATCTTTGTCATCATCATCCTGTGTCAGCACTTGCCCTAGCAAACACTGCCTAAGAGCCACCCCTCCTTGCCCTGGGAGAAAAGAGGCCCATAGGCTGAGAGTCCTGGCTGTGGGAATGCAGATCTGGGTGTTGAACCCACATCTACTCTGCATCCTTGAGCAAACCAAGTCATTCCCCAAATTTCAGTGTTCTCCTCTGTGAAGTGGGAGTGAGACTAACAGCTGCCTGCCTTGTGTTAATACTACAGAGATTAACTGCAGTAATACATGTCAGGCACTGAATACACGACTGGACATAGCAAATGCTCAAGCAGTGTTGGTAATTGTCTACTATTCCACAGAGGATGAAGGGAATGTGGTTTGTTTTGCCCACCCAAAAATGGACAGAGTAGGACACCCATGTACTTCATACTCCTTTTCTCATCAAATATGGGATGCTGGACCAGCTCCAAGTTAGGGGGATTTAACTCTTCTAACTAACTGACCACAGAGCCTCTTCGGAAAACCTTTAAAACTTTCTAAAGTGTTTTGAGTTCAGTCCTGATTAGCACACAGGATCAGTTGTGAGGTTGAAACTGCTATCACCCTGAAACAAAGAAACCAAGACATACCCATGATTTTTCTGAATGGCTTTTCTCTCCAGCCTTTCAGGAATTCTTCTGTCTGACTGGATTTAGCAGGAAGGTGTATTTAATTCACTTCCATCCAACTAGCACAGGACTACACCTATCCTCAGTACCTGCTGGGCACTCTCTACTTAGACATTCAACATGCTGGTGGATCAGCACAGAGATGAAGGGACATGTGCTCAAGGTGTTCAGTGAGTCCTGTCACACATGGGAGGTTAAAGTCAATGACAGAACCAAAGGCCTTTCTTTTCTAGATTAAGCTTTCTATGAAGAAGGTTCTAGTGTAACAAGATTCCCCATAGTCAGATGTATCCTTCTGGAAACAGCCACACAGCTAGCTAAACACCCCTGTACCCATACAATAGCCCCTCCAGATCACCCTGGGCTGCCTTCTCATGCCATCATGGCAGTTCTTACCCCTCACAGGCTTCATTCTTCCAAGGGTTTGGACCACAACTAGAAGAATTTGGGCTAGACAAAGAGAAGATTATGTAGGTACCAAATGGGGTCAAACATTCAAGTTGGTTGCAGAATCTTCTTTGGAGACATTTCAAATTAGAAACCAGGGATAGTCTAGCCAGTTAACTTGACAGTACCAGAAATAACCTGGATGACCTCTTAAATTCTTCTAGTCTGTGGCTCGATGACTAAAAGTGAGCAGAGGGATATGGTCAATGAGCCTCCACTGGTAAGGATTCTATTGTCATACACCAGACATCCTTCACTCCAATTTCCTCCCTGTCCACCTTATTCCCTAACTCACATATGCACTCTTTCTCACTCCCAAGATTCCCCTTAGACTCTCACACAGATCACTGATCCATATTGTCATTCACCAGTACCACATACCTAGTTGCCATTCCTATTTCTCACACCTCCTCATACATAAAAAATAAAAAGGCATTTTAAAGTTATGATCAGCACAGGAAGATCACAAGAAATAAGCCCTTTTCCAGCAACCAATAACAGAGCGCTTGATGAAAAGCAGGCAGGATTTCACTCTGCTCTCTCTTCCCATCAGAGAAAATGATTTTCCAGA